GGAACTATATGAAGGAGGAAGGGAAGAGACGAAGGATGAAAGAACTGCAAACAGAAGAAGTTGATAAATTAAAAGCAAAGAATATTCCGTTGACTTTGGCAAGTAGAGCGCGTTTGGACCCGATCACAGGCTTTTGCAACCGAATCATTTGTTGTTTTAAATCCAGCTTCAGCCTCACAAAAGTCTATTTATAATATTGCCTTGAATTTAAATGAGGCCTAGTATCCAGTTTTAGCAATTAAATTTGCACCAATGTCCAGAATAATATCGCTTTTTTATGCTTTGTTCGTGATGAAAGTCTTCTTTAATAAATTTACGTTGCACAACTTTCAATTGGTTAGGAGGAGACGACCAGAAGGGATTCGTAGATCGGCATCGTTAGACATCATATTAGGTTTTCCACTTAATTTTGGCGGTAGAATTACGCGAGTAAGTACTCGTCACGACCAATATAATTCTAAGCAGAACCGTCTGCTGTACCTTCTCGGCGGACATTGCCGTGGTTCTGATGACGTCTGTCACATAAAATCTAAACGCTCAGCATGGACGAGTATTTCTTCTCACAAGTTCACACTCAAACATACCTCGGCTTTCGGTGAGGCTAATCTACTAGGCCAGTCTTATCGTCTTAACAGAACTTTAATAAGAGAGTCTTTAAAATCCAGCTTCTCTTCAGGTCTACGTCAGCATATTGGTTGTTTGTCGATAAAATTATTTATCAAGAATGATAAATAAATAATGTAATCGTAATATATATGAATATATATTTTTTAATAATATTACTATGATTAATTGAATAAAATTATTACTGCCCAACAATTTTATGCTGTACATCACCCTGTCTGGGTTGATGACGAGAATGCTGTCGTTGTGTGTCTAGGAGAGAGCACTTTGAGGTCCTCAGCAGTCTGATAGTCCCGTAATTTTATAATTGTTGAGCTTGCTTCAATTTGAAGTGAAAGTGGAAGTAAGCTCAACAATTATAAAACAAGAGATTCCGTAATTTTATGTCAAGTTGTGGTGAAGAGAACCTATCTTGTTATAATGAAACTTCGGGCTTTGGACCCTCAGGATACCCTCATGGCTGACATCGCTAAAAGGCCATTGAATTTCAACTAGCCATGCCTCAAAAAGGTACTCCCATCCAGGCTGGACTGGACTGTATTTTCAATTTCGCCCAAGTCTCATCATCAATCCCGGCGGGAATCGAATCCGGTTTGTGGTAGTGCAGTGTATACTCTCGGCATGTTGTTACTCTTATTCAATATCAACTGATAGTCGCGTATTCCTACTTAATTCGAATACATGTAATGTTGTTGACTGTTATAGAAAATACAAGTTGCCTCACTTACAACCCTGCAACAAGCATGGGATATGGCAGTGGAATGGCTTGCTTTTAAATTCCCTTTTGCCCTATCAACGATAGGTACTAGTGGCCGTGTAGAGTTGTAATAACATGGCAAGATTATAGACTGTACCACCCCAATACGGGCTCGAGTCCTGTCTGGGGGCTGATGAGACCCAGGCGTTACGAAACTGTGGTTCACTTCTGCCCGAATGTGACTACTTTTTTAGAATCAAGGATATGTGAAATTTAATGTAATAGTAGGTCTATTCACACGATTGTTGAAAATATCAATTATCAGTCGTTTAGCATTCATTGAAACTAAGGACAACTAGAGCTATTTTTCGCAAAAAGTTGCTGGCCATGATCCTATCTGCCATTAATAGCTTAATTTGTCCATTTACTTAGGCATTACATGATTTAATCGAAGGTATAAAGACCAAGAAGGCGTGGCTTTTGGTGTGGTCGCAGTCTTCTTTCGTTGTATAGAGGTTGTATGACATTGTTTTTTCAACTTGGTCATATTGGTAGGAAGACTTAGAGGAACGCACCTAGTCCAGAGTCCATTGTATATATCATCCTTTCCAAAGTCGGACCGTGGACGTGGTACATTCTCAGACGTTTCGCCGGCATTGTCAGTGAGCTTCGCCATTCGTAGCACCACACAACAACTCGTCAAACAGACAAGTGAAGCCGATCCTTTGACCAAACATGTGCTAAACAATTGTGGTATCTCTCCCTCTGCCCTGAGCTTTTCACATTTCCTATATCCTCCTATCACGCCTTCACTGTTACAATTTTTACCGTGCTCATTTAGATGTAGTGTGGTGTGCCCTTTTGAGCGGCTTTCATGAAAACGCTCCACACTCCCCGCTGGCGTTCTTATCCCCCTTCATCCTTGTGCTGGGAATGTTGATCAGAGTCTTCCTCCTTCCATAGGTCTTATCACAGTCTCTCTCTTGCCCCGTAAGATCCGTCTGTTCACTATCTGGTTTACGTATTTCACTCGACCCCTGCCACCTCATCTGTGCTACTTGAGGCGTTATTACCCCTCCAACGAATTTGAGTGACTATTCGAGGCTCAAGCCTTTGCTATATGGACCATGTTTATGGTACAACAGACCTACTGTCAGCCAACTAACTCAATTCTCCGCCGCGTCTATCCTATTTTTATCCCTAACACCAAGTCTATAACTTCTTATGCCCTAGTCTTTTGTGTGCCAACCCACAAACGGTGTGGTTCAACATTGAATCTAATCAAACCAAGCAGTACCACACAAGAGACTAGGACATAGCAAGTGATAGACTTGTTATTCGGGATAGAAACCGGAGACTGGAGCGAGTTGGCTGACAG